ATATTTTTAACTTTGTTAAGAAGAAATGATGGGTAAATATTTTTAAAAAGAAAATATAGATTTATAGGTTACTTAAATTTTCTTAACTTTGATCAAAATAGTGGATAAAAAAATAATCTTCTTCCTTCTCCAAAATAGATCATTTTTTCAAATTACAAAAGAATTTACAACAAAAGATTAATGCACAAAAATTTATCATTTTTTCAACTTACAAGATCTTGAGGACAATAAGATCGAAAACTATAAATTAAAAAAAGAAAGATTGAAGATTACATATAAATTCAGAAGAGTTGGCAAGCTATGGTAAGAGCGCAAGGATTGAGAAATTAGCACATGATTATTTTAGTTATATTTTTATTATTTAAATAATTAATTAATCATGCTTTTAAAATATGAGTCATCAACTGGCTTCTTGTTACTCTTCTTGGTCCTCTTGATCATCTAGAGATTTGAAGTCATTTGGCTAACCAATGGTGAAAATAATTTGGGGTTTCTTTATAAGAAAATTATAGCTAGGAATAATTGTAAAAATATAAGTAAGATTACTACTAATTAGTTCTCGTTCTACACATCATAGCATCTCTATAACTATTATCGGCTACTTGTATAAGCTCTTCACCGGTTCACTAAAGCAATTATGTACCTATATATCTCAGATTTTTATTTATATGTTACATAAAATTAGTTAGTTTTAATTTTCCATACAACTTTTAGCTGTGTTTAAAAAACATAAATCGGACAAGAAATATATTCACTTCTAAAGATGAACTTGATAAATGATTTACATCATAAAATTAATTACCTAAATTTGAAGCCAAAATGGTGTTGAGATTCACAGGTTCGCTGAAGTAGAGATCCAGAAACGAAAGAGCTAAAAGAAAAACATGTGAGAATAATATATATGGGAGAAAGAGAACATGCGATAGTTATCTTAGAGCCACCGAACGGTCGTAGGTTGGAACGTTTCGACGGTTGAATTCATCTTCATGCATCCAAATTAATTGGAGAAGGAATCCTGAAACGTTTAAGAAGTTGAAAACACGAAATGAAGAAGCAGGTGATTAAATGCCGGGAGTTACTAACATTTAATATTTTGAGGCCACGAAACCTACCGGAGGAGATGACGTTGAGCGGAGGCAGGAAGAGGTTGAAGAATTTCAGAAGATTGATTTAATTGGAGGGAAACCTACCTGACGGCGAGTGGAATCAGTTAGGCAAGCCGAAGAATATGGAGATGGGGCGAAGACGAAGCATCGCGATATTTGGGTAGGTTTACACTTGCAGAGGAAAAAGTTAATATATTCTTAAAAAACGTTAATATTTACACTTGCACAGGAAAAAGTTAATATATTCATAAAAACTTGCAGAATTAATATAATAAAAGTGGAGAATAGGAATAGAGAAACGTAACTTAGGAAATCTGAAGGGACTTAAAATTAAATGAGTTTTATTAAATGTGATTTTTTTTTATTTATTAAAACATGTACTTAAGAATAGAAATAGAAAAATGGAAGTTAGGAATCTGAAGGGGCGGTAAAATTAAAATGAGTTTTATATAGTGTGAATTTTTTGATTTAATAAATATTTTTAATAGAATGGACGGTCAAGATAATTAAAAAATAAGTAGAATGTATGAACAATGTTACTTAAAATTAGTTAGTTTTAAGTTTCCATACAGCTTTTAGTTGTGCGATCAAGGTTGGACGAAGTCCATATTCACCGGTTCACTGAAGAAGAAATAGTAGAGATACAGAAATGAAAAAGCTAACAGACAATTTAAAAAAACATAATTCGGACAAGAAATATATTCAATTCTAAAGATGAACTTAAATAAATGATTTACATCATAGAATTAATTACCTAAATTTGAAGCCAAAATGGTGTCGATATTCACAAGTTCGCTGAAGTAGAGAGCTGAAGCCAAAATGGTGTTGAGATTCACAGGTTCGCTGAAGTAGAGATCCAGAAACGAAAGAGATAAAGGGAAAACATGTGAGAATAATATATAAGAGAGAAAGAGAAAATGCGAAAGTCATCTTACGGCCACCGAACGGTCGGACGTTGGAACGTTTCGACGGTTGAATTCATCTTCATGCATCCAAATTTATTGGAAAAGGGATCCTGAAACGTTTAAGAAGTTGAAAACACGAAATGAAGATGCGGGCGATTAAATGGCGGGAGTTACTAACATTTAATATTTTTAGGGCACGAAACATACCGGAGGAGATGACGGCGAGCGGAGGCAGTGAGACGTGAACAATTTCAGAAGACTAATTTAATTGGAGAGAAACCTACCTGACGACAAGTGGAATCAGGTAGGGCAAGCCGAAGACTGTGGAGACGGGTCGAAGACGAAGACATTAGGTAGGTTCACGCTTTCAGGAAAAAGTTAAAAATGTGCAGAATAATAAATAAAATAGCAAAGGCGCTCTTACAAAAAAAAAAAAAAAACGCTCTTACGAAATCTGAAGGGACGTTAGAATTAAATGTGTTTTATTTATCGTGCATAAGTAATAAATCAATTAAGACAGTCTTGTGAAGGTAATTAAACAAGGCATAACATTTAATATTAGTAGCAAAAGCTGCTCTTAGCAAATCTGAAGGGACGTCAGAAGTAATGTGAATTTTTTTGATTATTAAAGCATGCAATGAATAATAGAATAGGAAACGGTATAATGAATAGAGTAGTAAATAATAGAAATAGGAAAACAGTAAAATTAATAGAGTAGTATAGATGTGAATTTTTTGATTTATTAAATATTTTTAATAGAATGGACGATCAAGATAATTCAAAAATAAGTAGAATGGATGAACAAGATTTGCCGGAGGAAGGAAACTCAAACCCCTTTTATAATAGTAGTATAGATATATATATAATTTATTTTTAATTATAAATATTTAAATATAAATTTATATTATAAA